GCTTGCAAGGACTGGGGCGCCCCGCCGAGTCAAAGCGGGTGGAGGAGGGCTGGGGTCCCGGGGGCCGGGAAAGCGCGTGGCTGTGCATTGCTTTATGAATTGCTCTTTGCCCTGAGTCGCTAATACCCGGCATTTGCTAGGGAAAAGTCTCTCGGGACATTTCTTAACCTACCTCCGCTTGTGAGCGAGGCGCTGGGGAAAGTTGGTGAATGTCTTCAAGAAGTTGGGTTGCTTGCCGTCTGCCTGGCTCTTTCGGCGCTTTCCACCCTGCATCATTTAAAGATCCTTTGTTGCCCTGAAACCTTTAAGATCTGATCAGGGTTATTGTCTTTCTTTCCTCTTGAAAGGAAAAGCAAAAGGTCCCTTTGATTGATCAGTGTCCATCCTGTCTTCACACAGGTGCAAGGCTGAAAGAAGAGCGCTTATGCAGACCTTCTAAATACTGATTGTTGCCTACCAAAATCTAAGCCATGGTGATCATGTCAGATTATACCTCTGTCCCCACTCCAAATCAAACCCAGCGAAGGCCTCTCCGGGTTGGATTTTATGATATTGAGAGGACCTTGGGAAAAGGCAATTTTGCAGTAGTAAAGCTGGCCAGGCACAGAGTAACCAAAACGCAGGTGGGTGTGGAATCTACTCTGTAGTTTCATATAGGAAACCAAATTTTAAAGGGCATGAAACTTTCTGAGTAAGGTTTTTTCTTTTTGTCTTCACAAATGTGGTGAAATAAACTGACATACAGTAAGACAGTGGTCTAGTTGTCTACTATACAAGCTATAATCAAGCTTGTTGATCTAAGTGTAATAGCGATAATTGCTAGAACTATAGGTGAGAGGTTTTTTTGTTCCTTGGTGGTGTAATAATACAGTTGATGTAAAATAAAAACAAGTCAATTTATGAAAAAAATATTGGCAAACTGTATTAACACTTCAATTTAATTATGTAACCCTTATGTGGATTTTTTTAGAGAAGCTACAGTTAGGCAAATTTAAAGCAGTTTGTGTAGGAAGAAAGCATACAATCTTTATTTTTAAAAATACTAAGAATTTTGCCTTTTTAAATCGATCTGAGTAAGAGTTTTCTTATTGGTTGGTTTACAAACTAAACTTGTAATATGTGATAAAATTCTGGGGAGGGGGGTGATCCTGCACTAATGGGTATGGACTAGGTGACTTAATAGATCCTTTGCAGAAATCAGAACTATAGTTCGATTCCTTACTTTATTTGTAACCTTTTTTTGTGAACTAGATAAATTAAAATATATTGAGTATGGCAGAAGTCACATTCTTTTGAAAGCTTCAGACTAACTTAAAAAACAAATAGTCTGGTAGCACTTTAAAGACTAACCAAACATGGAGAATTTTGTTAGTCTTTAAAGTGCTACCAGACTATGTGATGTTTAAGTTTATTTTTTTTAAAGTCAGCAGCATCAGTACATATTTTATAAATGTCTGGATTTGTTTTAATTTATAGGTTGCAATAAAGATTATAGACAAAACAAGATTAGATCCAAGTAACCTGGAGAAAATTTATAGAGAGGTTCAGATAATGAAGCTTTTGAACCATCCCCACATTATCAAGCTGTATCAGGTAAGAGATCAGTTCTGATGTCTGCATTCATGTTAACTGTACTTACATACCAGGGCTTTGGTTGCTAATGATCTTATCTTGCACATGGTTCTAAATCACAAGTGCAAGGAGAGAATTCACATTGTACTTTTTGAAGTATTTAAACAAATACAATAAGCATTGTATTTAAGGTCTTTTTCTTTGTTCTCTTTGGTTTATTGTATGATTAGACTGAGTAGTGTATTGGGTTGTGGTTTTGTTTTTTTAATTTTAAGTAATTGTAGTGGAAAGAGTCATAATTGACTGTTAGTTTTGGCTTGAATGGAATTGATCTTGAAATTGATGGAACTGACTGTTTTGTATTTCTAAGGAACTGATTTTTCTCTGTGATTCCAATGCGTTTTCAGTTTTTAGAAGCCATAGAAATACTCTTACTTGCAAACTTATAGTTAACTTATACAGTTAAGCTCTTGTAAGATAAAACAGAACTTCCACCATCTTCTACACTTTATTTTGTGTAATTGTCTAAGTTTTACTTGAGTTCTTGTTCCAATAAATATTAAGTGTAAGAACAGACTAGTGTGCTGTACAGAAAATGGGATCACTGCTGATGCTAAATGTTTGATCTAATTGGCATTTGGTGTAAGTTCCTCCTAATCGTCTTAAATGGTACCATGTGGATTTAAGAAGATGTAGTATCACAATTTCAGGTCAGGGAGATAAGGTAAAAGATGGATTAAGAAATACAGCAGCAGATCTAAAATGGCAATGTGAAAACACTATTATCACTTTGGATCTTTACCTAGTTTTTGTTATTGTAGAGGTCATTTAATACCTAAAGTAGAAGGGCCAGTAAGGTAAATGCTTAAGTGAAAACCATTGTTTTTTAATTACCTTAACATCCATGGAATATTCAATATTTATATGAGTAACCATTATAAAATTAATTGGTATTCATGTCTGACATCACTCTTGTTTGTAGGGTTATTTAAGATACATAACTGTTAACAATAATCTTTGCTGATTTTTCTCGAGTTAAATGATACAATTTTCACCTCTATTTCAAAGCTCTAAAAAATAGCTTAAATTCCACCTTGTTGAACCAAATTATTTAACTGGACAAATGACACAAAGTTTAACTTCCCAACTGATTTTTTTTCCTCTTTGTTGTTGTAACTTATACTGTACCTATTTGTCAGTATTTTAGAAGTAGGGGTGGAATTAGATGACATACTAGTGTTTGATATTGGGGGTTTTTGTGTGTTTCAATGCCAACATCTAACTTTCATCCACATGGCACCTTTCCCAGAACACTTAAACTTCTTCCCTTCAGTTTTTGAAAATTGTAAACCTCTCTTCCTTTGCTCCCTTTTTGTTTTCATTTGTGCATGATGTGTCAGAGAGAGGCAGGGGGAGATGAGAGCTCCCTTCCCTCTCTTTGACATATATCCTTTTCAAAAAACAGCTGAAAATACAGTTCTCATTGAAGAACCATTCTTGGTAAATAGGTCATGTTAAAATTTGAAACACAAAGGAAAAATGTCCCAGTGACTTAAAAACAAATGTGTTGAATACTTTATGGGGGTTGTATGCTTGTGTTCTTCCAAAAAATAATCATTTTGGCTAGTTTATAATCTATTTTATAAAAGCCAGTAACAAATATTTAAAAGTAAATCAGTACTAGCTCAGTAAATGAACTTTTAGCTAGGATTGGCTCTTGCTGTTAATGGGCATCAAGCAACACAGTTTTCTCAAACAGCAAGCTTTGCTTTGCAGAGCTGTCACACTGCAAGCTAATTTGTTTCTGATACCAAGTGGGATTGAGGTATTTGATATAACACGTTCACTGTTTTCTTACTGTAAATATCTGTTCTAATGATCTTAGTACCTGCTAGCCTTTTTAACAGAAAGTCCTTGAATTCTGGCAATCTGTTTTTTAATATAAAATCTGCTTGAGTGATCAAAATTGATTACCGAATAATTCTGTTTTGCTTAAATTACAATAACTTGTTAATTAAAGCTTGTGAAATATTTCATAAATCATTTCATAGACGTTTGAGGGAGAAAAAAGTATGTAGGAAGCAAATGATTGTGTGTGTTAGATATGCAAGCATTAATTCATTATCTTTCTGAATAGCTCTGTATGCAAAAGGAATACCGCAAAGCAGGCATAAAGGCCTTTATCTACAGTTGCTGTAAATAATTGCACCGAGAGGTTCTAGATTTAGGACATATGCTTTTTTATGAAAAAAATAAAAGTAGATCTCTGAAATTGTATCATCCCAACTTTTGTCTTGACAGGTGATGGAGACAAAG